CCAGCCAGGGGTCTGGCCGGCGGCTCGCCCCGTGCTCTGGGTGTCACCCTGCCTGCCGGTCAGGCCGGGCGCCGCCTGGTGACCCGTGGGCCGCACAGCCCGTGCACACGCTGTGCTTCGCAGCAGACCACGCGTGCGGCCCCCTCCGTAGGGCCGGAGGACAGCCACGGCCGCTGGGCCCTAAGCCAGGGGTCAGCGCGGGCAGCTCCTCCGCCCTGAATGAACCGTAAACACGGTAAATCTCAAGTGTTTAGAAAGGGTTTTCTTTAAAACTCTATACATTAAAAACATAAATTACTCTCAGACAAAACAACGTGAGTCCACAAACCTCTCCCCTTAGGAGAGGCAAAGTTCCGTTATCCACACTCAGCAGCAGCGTGCTGGGCCCGCCGTCCCGTGCCCGTCCTGGCTCCCACTGGCCGGCTCCCGGCCCTGCGGCTCCAGCAAAGGTGAGTCTCATCCCAGCAGGGCGGCTCAGCGCTCTGGAGCTCGCTTCCCAGACCCAGGCAGCGCGAAGGCTCCACCCGTACGTAGCCTGGCAGGTTTTGTGGCCACCATCTGGAGGCTCCATCTATCTACACCAGCATTGCAGCCTCTTCATCCTCTCCAGCTTCTCTAAGCAGGTGTAGACTCTCCTCATCCGACTCTTCGTCCTCTTCCGTTCCTGGCGACTGCAGGGCCCGTTTTAGGCCCCGCTGCTTGGAAAGCGCCAGAGCGTACTGGATATTGTAGCGGTTCCAGTCACAGCTGTGGGTGGGGACCAGGTCAGCATGAGCTCCCCGCAATACGATCAGCACCCACCGCAGGGACCGGGTGAACCTGTGTCCACTCCAGCCACCCCCGTCCCTGTGCTCTGCCTCTGGTTTGTGTCTCAGCTGCCTGAACAGCACCTGCCCCCCTCCCCAGCCGGCCCCTCCAGGTCACTCAGGAGCAGAGCTGCACCCTGCACCGGCTCCTTCTCCAGTCACGGAACCATGACATCACCCCATCACCCCCACAGCACTTCTGGCAAGGAAGCAGGAGCAGGGACAGTTAGCACTTGTGGGGACACGACGCCACGTCTGCTTAGAGCTGTGCAGCCTGAGCGGAGCCGGGTCCAGGGAGAACTACAAAGCGGTGGGGACGGACCGGTCAGTGAGGAGGCCTGGGGGCCTCTCCAGACCACCACACAGCAGCACTTCCTATGAGGCCATTAGGGAGAAAGGCAGGGGGAGAAGGGCTCGCTCCAGAGCTGAGACCCATTAAGACGGAGGCCCATGGGACCACAGGGGCCAGAGACACTGGATAACTGGACAAAGGAGACCTTGTGTAAACAAGCCCAGCTGTGACACCTGGCTGCACAGTGACAAGTCCCTCGGTGGGATTTTTATAGTCTAGGCTCTGCGAAAGGGGTGTGGGGGCAGAGGTGCACAGACACCAGGAAACGACCTCTGGCGGGCCGGCTCCTTGGGCGGGCCGGCTGGGAGCCCTACGTTGCTCCCTTCACCCGCATGCCCCCACCTCTTGCTGGGAAACCTGTCCCAGGAGTCCCCGCTGCACTGTCCCAAGGCTATGACCAGTGCGTGGCCCGCATAGGTGGCAGGCAAATCCAGACAGATGAGGGCCAGCTCCTCCAACTCAGCAAGTATTCACTGTACCCTCCTTCTTCTAGCCACACCAACGCAGGCCTCAGTTTACCCCAGCAAGTGGAGAACATGCACCTCCAACCCCAGGACCATCTTCCCTGATCAGATGATGCAGGAGCAATCCTGGCAAGGACGCTGCGATGCCCACCCTCCACCGCCCTCCCAGCCCCACTTCCCGCACACTTACAGTTTAGCCATGTCCTCCAGGTGCCGCTGCAGGCCCTTCTGAAGAAACTGGATGGTGGGCAGCACCTGCCCTGCCCTGCAAAGAAAGACAGGCCAGGGTGCAGGCGGGTCAGGGACACTCACTTGGCATTTGCCACCACAACCAGCTGGCCAAGAGACCAACAGTGGGAACAGGAGCAAGCCCATCCTACCTGGACTTGAGCCTCTGTCCGTGCGACATGAGCAAACTTTGCGTCCACAGAAGGTAGAATTCAAGATGACGGGACTCTTCAAAGGAGGCAGCTAAAAACTCGAGCACTTTGTCCACATACGGCTCAGGTAGAGACGCACTGATCACGTTGACTGTGAAGAGAAGCCACGCTGACTTCACACGGAACTGATTCAGGAGAACAGAGGGTGGCCCCAGCAGCCCCCAGCCCTCGCTCACTCTCGTCTGGGGGAACGGCCTCCAGGGTCTCCTGCATCAGCTTCCGCTCATTGAGCCGGAAGGCCATGAGGATGGCCCGGGTGAAGTCCTGCTGTCGCAGTGCCTCTCGAGTGCGCCCAGGGGTGACGCTGGCATCCAGCTCAAAGGGGTCAAAGAGCATCTGGGTGTCCAGGGAGAAGATGAGGAGCCCCTCCGTGCTGGTGGCTGCCCAGCAGCGCCCTGTGGGGAGAGCAGGGAAGGGGCTTCTGACAGCTGAAAATGGCCTGCTCTCCCGAGGGAGCTGGAATGACCCGGTGCTTCCCACCACCCTCTGGAGGCAGGCAACACGTGCTCTCACGAGCCACCTGCCTGAGCCAGCTCTACTGCCCATGCCAGAAGCCACCCAGCTTCTTGCAAGGGCACAGGGCCCTCCTGCAGCTGTCCAGGCTGCCACTGTGCCCTGGAGAATGAACCAACGTGACCCCGAGACCTGGCCTTCTGCTGGCCCGCAGGGGCCCCAGCTGCACAACCCAGGAGCTAGCCCATCCACCGCACTCCCAGCCTCTGCACTGGCAACATGCTGGCTGAGACCCACACAAATCCTGCTGTGCGGAGGAGGATGTGTGTCCCTAACAGGCCTCGTCGGCCTCTAGATCCAAGCAGAAGCCCGAGAGCTTAGAGCCCTGGGGTGGGAAAGGGTCCCGGACAGCGGAAGCTGTCTCCCAGGACGGAAGGGCGCCTGTGGAGTCGTCCAAGGGTTGGGCAGGGCTCCAGCCAAGCCTTGCAGGTGTGCACTCCACATATGTCTGCCCCTGGGGACAGGGGAGACATGTGGCCAGTGGGGTGTCACAATCCTGCCCACGGGGCAGTCACCAGACCCCCGAGACTGACCTCACCATGAGAAAAAGAGCAGCCTGCATACATCAGGATCAACAAGTCACAGCTCACCAGTGGGAGAGAAGCTCAGTGAAGTCACCCTGATTTCAGGCTTGAAGTGGCGAGAACTCATGTCACCTGGAAAAAATGGAGTGCAAGAACCTGCTGCCCACCTGATAATCAGAGGCCAGCCTTCAGGCCCCCCGTGGCTGGGGCCTGCGGTGGGGACATGCCAAAAACAGCAGCCTCTGCCCCTGGCCGCTGGGCCTAGACCAAGTCCAGCAGGAAGCAGCCTTCAGCTCCTGTGCCGTGGCTGGCCAGGCGCTGCTGGCCTCCATGGGGCTGTGCTCCAGTGGACTAGGCTCCCAAGCCTATACACAGTTCTTCTGCGCAGAAGGCTCCCACCTGCCCAGGGCGGGGCCTGGAGTGGGGCCCACAGACAGGTTCTGGCATCTTGGTGGTGGACATCTGTCGGGATGGTCTACCTAGTACCCAAGTGGCCCGAGTCTCCCAGAACACTTGCCAGACCCAGGTCCTCGAATCCTGCAGCAGTGGCCCTGCATCCTTGGAGCCAGCTGACAGGCGGCCTCTCCCACCTAAGGAGGCCTGAAACTTGGACCGCCACCCCCTCCATCTTCCTGCCAAACGCTGTGATGCTGAGTGCCAGACAAGGAACGTAGCTGCTGCCAGGGGACAGCGGGACCTCTGCTCACCTTTCTTGACTCCTGGCAATGGAATTGCAACCCCGTTTTCCTCCCCCGCATCTTGGTCAATCAGTGCCAGGTTGCCAAACTCGGTCATCTTTCTCCGATTCAGAAATTCCTGGAACAGCAGAAGCAATGGCACTTCACCTCTCCTTATACACAGATCGCCCGCAGCCGCACCCATGACTGGCAGGCCCCACCCATGCCTGCTGCTCACAGGGCCAGGGCGCAGAGCCCAGGACCTGCCTGCACGCAGCCACCGCCCAGGACCCAGGGGCGAGGACCTCACCACCTCAGACCGCCTACCCTCCCGTGAGGGCAGCTGCTCCTCGGGAAAACTCTGTTTTCCTCCAGAAAGCGGAGCGTGGGGGCTCCTGCCATGTGCGTGCTACGCAGTAAAGCCTGAGTGGACTCAATGCTTTCCTGACCAGTGTCTATGACACTCAGGTCCCCTCACCCAGTATTTCTGCAGGGCACAGATACGAGGGGCCTGGGACAAGGGCTGTGGTGAGCAGGAAGGGTGGCCACCCACGGGACAGCAGACTTTCCACACTGGGGCTGGACAGACGTAGAGCTGTGCCCGGGCAGGCCTGCCAGTGCCTCCCACCCGCAGAGCCGTGGGTGCAGCCACAGTTCACGCGTGGACAACAACCTCCGAGGGCCTAGGGAGCCTCCACACCCACCCGGAGGCCCGGCACCGCCACTCACCTCCATAGCGTCCAGGGAGAAGTTGCAGGAGAGTTCAAACCGCTTCACCAGGATCTGCTCCCGGACATGGTAAAGGCACACGAACTTGGACATGCCTCCTGCGAGGATGTTCTGGCCGTCCGCAGAGTAGCACAGCGTGGTGAAGGCCCTGGGCAGAGGACACAGGCACTCAGCCAGAC